AAAAAAAAAAAAAAAAAAATACTGTCTAATTTGATTTGCTAAAATGTTAAACTTGTCTATCTTTAACATAAGTATTAACTAGTTGTAAATTTTTCTTGTTTCTACCCCTCTCCAGTTTTGGTACTGAAGTCTTATTAGACTAATAAATAAGAACAGCAGGCTGTTATTCTTTCTAGTCTCCGGAGAAATATGCTTTAAAACAGAATACATACCCTTAAACAAGATAATAAAAGTGCCCTGAAAATCCTAGACCTTAAATCTTTCGGGGGAGAGTCTCGCTCTGTTCCCCGGGCTAGAGTGCCATGGCATCAGCCTTACTCACAGCAACCTCAAACTCCTGGGCTCAAGCAATCCTGCATCAGCCTCTCAAGTAGCTGGGACTACAGGCACGCACTACCACACCTGGCTAGTTTATTTTTAGTTGCCCAGCTAATTTTTTCTCTTTTTACTAGACACAGGGTCTTGCTCTTACTCAGGCTGGTCTCAAACTCCTGAGCTCAAGAAATCTTCCCACCTTGACCTCCTAAAGTACTAGGATTACAGGCATGAGCCACCACACCTGGCCTCGGGGGAAAGATTTTTAAGTACTGCTCCAATTTCTTTAATGGATGTTGGTCTATCAGGTTAATTTCTTACTGTTACCAAAATTGTTCCAAAAAGAAATTAACCTGATAATGGTTTTCAAAAATACTTCTATTTCATCTAAGTTTTCAAATGCACAGACATGCAGCTTTATCTTGTTGAGTCTGTCAATTTCATTTGTCTTTTCTAAGAACTACGTTCAGATGAGAGGAAAAGACTGACTACAGCCAAATTATCACAGCAGTAATAGTAATCGATATCCAAGGTGATTGCTCTCCTCATCCTTTCCTCCCTGCCCACATTACAGTAAGAGTTACTAAGGAGCTAGGTACTTTATTCACACAACACTTTTTTTGAGATAGCATCTCACTCTGTTCCCCAGGCTGGAGTGCATGCAGTGGTGTCATCACAGCTCACTGCAACCTCCAACTCCTGAGCTCAAGCAATCCTCCTGTCTCAGCCTCTCAAGTAGCCAGGACTACAAATATACATTACTGTACTTGGCTAATTGTTTTAAGTATTATGTAGAGATGGGGTCTTGCTATGTTGCCCAGGCTGGTCTCCAACTCCTAACCTCAAGTAATTCTGCCATTCCAGCATCCCCAAGTGCTGGGATTACGGGTGTGAGACACTGCATCCGGCCAACACAATACTTTTTTATTACTCCACCACATTAACTTCTAAACTCTCCAAAAGATAGACAGGTACTCAGGTTTACTACAAATGGATAAATTTCCAAACCCTATTAAGTAAAACCTGTAAGTTTGCGCATAAAATGGACCAACTAAAACGGTACAGGTAGCAGCTCTGAGAGAAAAGTACCTGTAATAAGGAAGTTGCCATGTTCCTCCAAAGGTTCACTGTATTTTCGGACCACGTGATTTAAACCAAGGTCTAGCTCATAGAAAGTAAGTGTCTGCTGGGTATTTGCTGCTGCTTCTCCTGTTGGATCATTGTCTGCTTCCTATAGAGGAGAAAAGTGGCACAAAGATTAAACAGCAGCATGAAATCAAAGAACTTTTAGATCTGGAAAGGACATCAGGACTCCTCCATTTTACCAACAAGGAAACAGAGGCCCACAGATACCAAATGGTTTGAACAAGCTTATGCTACTAGAAAATGGCAGAGCTAAAACAAGAACCCAAATCTCCAAATTCTGGATCCAGGGATCCCTCTACTAGAGGATACTGCTTTCCATTCAAGACAAAGAATGGTAAGTTCTGATTTTCATCACTTCCCTGTGAAAAAATACCCCAAATATAGCTTTGCCTTTTTCATGCATCTTTTCCCAATACCTTGTTTTCCATAGGGAGATTACTTAAGTCTGAGCAAAGGTTATGTCATCAGTTAGTTAAGCTCTGAAACATTCCAAAGAATTTCAGTAAGGCATTTGGAATATGGGAAAGATCTGCTAGCAGGACAGATTTATGAGATGCACAAGGAAGAAAACAATCTTAGGAAAACAATCAGGTGACCGAAAGAAATCCAAAGAAAGAGAAAGATATGGTCCCCATTACCTCATAATCCATTTCCAGGCAAGCAAACATTGGATTTTCAAATCCCACATCTACTCCAACTACATGATAAACTAAAGTGTTCGCTTTGTGGGCTTCCAGAGGAGATGAAATGGTAAGTCGGGCTGCAGCATCTCTGTTCAAGATATACACCAGTTTCTGTTTCTCAATGGCACCTGCAGTCAAAGGAGATTTCCAGATAATGAAAGGAGAGATTTACAGAACAGCTAGATTCA